TGGAAGGCAAGATCATATCAATGGTAAGATAAAAGGATTGGAATTTTTTTTTTCTTCAGAAAGTTTCTTTATTGAGATATATTACAATCTGTCACATTTAAGGACAATAGTAATAGTGATAAAGAGTAGCTCATTCATACTATGCACAATAAATAAATATAAATAACAGCAATATAATAATACTTAAAGTAAATATAAACTAAACTAAACAAAAATAAACTAATCTAACAAAATAACTACTTAAATATACACATGCTTTTATACAATATTTACAACATTCATTCACTCAAGTTCTCTGACCCAAGCCATTCCCCTCACTCTCGGAGCGAAAGGCAGGACTCTAGGAGATCCCAGCATCTTTCACTCATCCGCCTCACTCGTATTACCAATGGAGGCTGTGCAGAGACACTATAACCAGACAAACATGGCAATTGGAAATTAATAATTTTGTTTTTTGTTTTTTTGAACCCAATGGATGTGGTGCTGACCTCTTTTACTGCACAAGGTACATTTCAAGTGAGGAATGAGGAACTGGGAGTTGGGTTTATTTTTATTGCGGTTATCCTGTAATTCTTATTCTAGTGACGGGGCTCACTAGTGTCCTGTAAATGTCAATTCATTTTACTCAGTCAAGTAAGAGGTTTCTAACGTAAGTCTACCATCTCATAGGTTTGTGAGTAATGAGTGTAAGTGTTTTGAATAATTTTCTTGTTTCCAAATAGTCTATTACAGGAAGAATTGTTGTTTATTTTTTGGGAATAAGTAGTTGTAAATTCTTCATTAACCCATTAATAAGAACATGTTTGAATTAATTTCCAATGTTTCAGTCTCAATTCATTCGGTCTCATTTTCAGCTTACTTAACAACAAGCTCGCTTAACAGAACAATACTCCTTTATGGTACTTCCATTAAGTGTTGCTTTTCGATACACACACACATATAAAATATTTATTTATATCTTTAAAAAATATACTATAGTTTCGCTGACGACATTCCAATTATTTCATCCCACGAAAATCCTACTATTACTTCAGTTGCACTTCAAAATAACCTCCACGACCTAGAAAAATCTGGTGTGTCCACTCACACGACTTTCCAACCTATTTCAGAAAAGTTTTTATATCTCTAAATATGTCCATTAAGAAACAAAAAATTGAATTAGATTTATTTTCCTGAATATTGATTAAAAAAAAAGATTTGAGTACGATTTCTTTAATAAACTAAGCAATGTAAAGCAGCTTGTGGTAGATCAGTGTAAAAAATTCAATATCCTAATATTGGTAATCAAAAACTTTTTGCAATACCCTAATTTTGTCACACAATAAGTTCTGTTAAAATTAGAGGAAATAGTGAAGCATGAGAATATGAAATGCAGTTCATAGAAAAATGTGTTTTTTACTTATTGTGTAGGGAGCACCTAATTTGTGTCTCAGGTATTAGTAATCAAAACTCTACAAAATAAAAAAAATCAAAAAAAAAATCGGTTCAATAGTTCTTGAGAAAATCTTGGCCCAGACAGACTCAGTTTTTCGGACTCTGAAACGTATGATCCGTCGAAAAAATCATATTGGAAATTTGACCTGATCCCAATACTTTCCTTACCTAGTATAGGTAATGTTAATGTCGGAAGTCAAGTCATGTTAGCTTCTCCCTGAGAGAAATTGCATATCCTCAATTTTAATTCATTCATGTACGATATCTCGGACCATACGCAGACAAAAAAACTCACCTGGAACATACACAACAGAGGATACAAACAACTTCACATCTTTTGGACGATAGATCTCCTCTGACTATAAATAAGTGACTAATCTACACCACCATACTACGACCTATTTGGACATACGGAGCAGAACTTCAGGGTTTCAAAACAACATACGTCCACATGGAAAAAATACAAACTGCACAGTCCAAAATACTTCGAAAAATCGTAAATGCACCCTGGTATATTTTAAATCAAAACATACACAGCGACATGAACATTCCAATTGTAAAAACCTACATATATAACAAATACACCGCATTCCAAAATTCAACTATTAATCACCTTAATCCACTTGTCCCCTCTCTTTCTTCCTCCCTATTACTAGGGAGCCTCAAAGAAGACTAAAAAGGCAGTTGTCTCGGGATCTGCTCACAATATGAATAAATTTTCATGAAATATCAGACAAAACGAACGACAGCACATTTACTAGATGCGTTCAAACGCAGTTGCAAATGTAATATTAAAGAATACATATCTATTATTTTAAAAATGTTGACGATATTATGAAAAATAGCTGATTTCTTTTTCTGTTGGCTTTACAGACCTTGTAAAGCTTTGGCTGCATAAACATGGGTATACGCAAGGGAGAAAAAAAATTTAAAGGAAATAAAACATGATATAATAAAAAAATAAAAAACAATCATTTTTAACATATATTAACATTTCTTCTCCTCCATGTTTTAGTAATCTGCCGCTCCATCTCACCGAGGGCTGGTCAGAAATATCAATATCTAGAAAGAATAACATTAATTTATTTCATTAAAAATGTTAAGAATGCTGAGATGTAGGGCGCAGTAGCTGACAGGCTTTAAAATGCTCTAGATCGATAAAATGTAAATGAAGTTTCAATATCATTATGTATTCACTGAAACAAAAGTTAAACATATTTCGGTGATGTGGTATTGCTAGAAGGTCTTGACATTTACAACCGCCCATTCAAACTAATTAGTGGTTATTGGTATTTCTACGGATAACCGTAAGAATAAATTATCTTTTAAGACTAACCTTATCCATTTCGATTTTCATTTAATTATTCTGTTCCGACTTTTTCCATCCTCGATATTTTAAATTATAGATTACTTTTTCTTCTGATGTTTCGAAATGTTGTTTATCAAATGTTAATTGCACTGATTTGTATAATTGCATAATACCCGTATCGAACATCAAGTATCTAATTGGAGTACGGATCTGAGGATGGTTAGAAAGTGAACTATGGACCAATACAACTGTACCTCAGACGCCTTTCTAGTTTCGACTTTTATAGATGTAGCGCTCCCTTTTAGGAAATCTTGTTCAATTAGAGCAGCTAATTATATCAGAGTAAATTAGAAATAGAATTAAATTAAACGATATTGAAATAATCGGGGGCAAAACAACTTCAAGGGTAATTGGAGTTTTTTCGTCATGTTAGTACTTAGTTATGAGACGGATTTTTAAATACGATCATGGTTCTTCATGCAAGAGAGCTAATTATATCTAATTACGAAAGCAGCCTGAATATAGAAGTGATGAAAACAACATTATTGCTGTAATTGTAGTAATTAATTTTTACTCTATTTCATACATGAGTAATAGCGTCATCTGTCATATAAAATATACCAACACATCATTTGCCCTGAAATGAGGAAACTTTACACCTTTAATCTGCATATGTTCAAGTATGGGGGTAAGGATGTATGGCTTTTAATTTCGCAGACTTTTCCATTTTTTTTTTTTTAATTCTGCTCTTTTATAATAATTACAGTAGATCAAAAAAGAACTGGCACACTCCAATTTATCTGCAAATCTCAAAAGGATTGAGATATTTTCCAGAAATAATATTTATGTAACCAAGTGGTCTTTGAGAATTATATTTTAGATGCAATGATTTTTCGGAATTCTAAAGCTATGTTTAAAGTAAAAAAATAAAATAAAAAAAAGTAAACATAAAGAGTAAATTTTGAGGGTTCAAAAAGTATTAGCGCAGTTTTAAACATTTACTATTTGCTACAGTCAAAGCAAATTAATACTTTTTCTTTCAAAGAATTAGAAACGACGATTGACGATAATACAATGAAAATAATAAAAGAAGGGAAAAATGGTTGGGGTCATCAGGAAAAAAAAAAAAAAAATCGTAAAAATAAATAATTACATTTATTTTTACTTTTGCCAACGTTTCGCCCCGAAGTTCAGGTCTTCATCAGGGCTAAGAAAAGACAGGTAACAATAGGTATGAGAAACTATAAATATTGAATAATAAATAATTAGATTAAAAAGGTGAAAGATATAGACTAAAAAATGTCGGTAGAATAAACTTAAAGTAGATAGAGTGGACATTTAAGTAGGTAAAATAATAACAGTAACAGAGGACTATTTTTTCAGTTTTATTAACTATTTTCTAATAGGGAACTTATTTCTTAGTTTTCTGTCACTGTTATTATTCTATCTACTTTATTTTAATTTAATGTTCACTCCATCTATTTTATTTTATTTTAAGTTTATTCTACCTACATTTTTTAGTCTCTATCTTTCACCATTTTAATTTGAATTCTTTATTATTCAACGTTAACAGTTTCTCATAAATATAGTTATCTGTAGGAATGCACTTTGGACCGAAACGTCGACAAAAATAAAAATAAATATAATTATTTTTTTTTACTTTTTTTTTTTTTACACTGATCAGCCCAACCATCCTTCTTTTCAATTATTCACTACAGTCAACATCAATCCACAACTATGAAAATAATAAAAATCAGTATTTGATTTATATTTTCCAAAACAAATTGGGCAAAACAAGTGAATATTGTGTGAGTTAAAAAAAAAAAACATCATTAAGTTACGTTCACACTAATGGAATTAGCTACTAACAAATAGCGAATAAATTAGAAATTTGTTTCAGCAGTGTACAAAATATAATACAAAAGTTTAGGATATTTTAAACATACCCCATTCAGAGCGGACATCAAAATTTAATGAGAGGGCATAAAAGAATATTCATAGAATCGTTGAGTAAAGTGACGCATTATCAGCCGCTCAGATAGCAGATGATATCCCATTTACTTTAATTACCACCTTCTGCTAGAAATATAATTCATAAATATTATTGTGATAGATTCAAAAGAAAAAAACCTTTCATTACAGAGGTGCACCGCTAAAAAAGACGTGGGTTTGCTAAAATTAAATTTAATAAAGACCTAGAATTCTAGAAAATGTAATCTTTTCAGATGAAAGTAAGTTTAACATATTCCATTCTAACGGCCTAGTTCGTTCAGCGGAAACTTGACACTGAGTTTCAAACTCGACATGTGAGACCTCCTGTAAAACACCAAGATGGAGGTATCCAGGTTTTCCTCCCATGTCATGAAATGGCGTTGGAAACGTAACCTTTATTGACAATATTATGAATGCCAAAAAATATGTCAACATTTTGCGACTTAGTTTAACAAGTTGTTGTTGTTGTTTTTCGGAGTTTATTTAGGCGTAAAACATCGAGGTCATCAACGCCTGCGTTTAGTTTTGTTTTTCGCAGAACTATATTTAGATTTTAACTTTGAAATTTAAGTTTAACAAATTTTTAAACTTTAAGATTCTTGAAAAACGTGGCTAACTGTAAGTGTACTATTACAATATTGGCATTTTGGTGGTGCCTGTTTGCTAATGAGATGTGAGTGGGCCAGATTGGTATGGCCTATTCTCAGTCTGGTCAAGGCAACCTCTTCTCTGCGAATAGGACGGTTTGATGTTGGCCACGGCTTTACTGTGTTTTAATATCTTTTATTTTGCTTGACTGTCTCTCACTCCACATAGATTGCCAGCCAGCTACAGAATATGTCGTTTTTTAAGGGGAAGATTTATATCTTGTGGCGAAATTTAAGTTTAGCCGAAAATATTAGGATTAAAGATGTATTTATCTAACAACAGGGAAATGACGCCAAGCACACACCAAATAAAACAAAAGAGTGGATGATGTACAATGTTCCCAGCCAATTGAAAACTGCACTAGTCTTCAGACATAAATCTTGTAGACAACCAATGGTACGGTACCTGTTGGATTTAAAAGTAAGAAAAATAAAAATTATTTAAAAGAAACTTTGTCAGAGGAATGGCATCAAATTGGACAAGACGTAACACAAAATTTTGTTTTATCAATACCTAGAAGATTCCAGGATGTCATAGGTGCCAAGTAGTATGGTAACAAAATATTAATCCAGTTCGTGAAAAAAACATCGAATTAAAATGTACCAATATGGAAGTAATTTTTCGTTTACTGATTTTTTAATTATTTAAATTTAAATTTGTTTCAACCCAGTTAAGTATTTTCTTATCTTTTTTATAAAATAAAAATGTTTAGCAAATCAATTACAGATTCATTTAGCCTGAAAAAAGCATGACAATACTTTTTTAATCCTTTTTATATAAAATAAATCGACCTAAAAAAAAATTAGTTTCCCTAAAAGTTACTTTTTGTATCCTATTTTTTCGTAGAGCGAGCGGTTCTTTAAAGAGCGGGGTAGCTCAGTGAGTAAGAGTGCTCTCAAGCTCAAGGTCTAGGGCTCGATTCCGGTTGTGGCAAGTAAATATTTATTTTGTTACATCAGCCTTGGTTTGACCAAACCTGGCAGTAGAGCCTGACTTTCTTATCACCCCCTGCATAACCGTTGATCTTGAAGCAGTACTTCCTTGCATAATTCTGTACCCCAAACCTTCTGTGAGTAGTAATTTTATTTTTTTATTTTTTTTTATTATTATTTTATTTATATACCTAGGTACGACTCAAGAGAATGAGTTTATTGAGGTTTTCATAATTTTATTTTAATACCCAAGACTCCAACAGATCTGCAAGAACTTGTAATGTTTGCGAATGAATTTGAGATAATTGAATTTAATTCATTAAAAAATACTAAAATAAGAAATTGATTTTTTATTTATTGTTATTTTCTTTTTCTTTTTTTTTTTTTAATTTGTTGATTTAGCCTCTACCCCTAAGGGTCATTATCTTAATGTTTCCATTTTATATTCGTTGATAAAAGTGAATATTCTTTAAATATTTAAACAGTTTTTCTATTTCATTCTCTCCATCTTGCAGAATTTATTTCATTTCCGTTCCCATTTGAAATTTTTTCTTTATATTGGTGTACCTTCTACATTCTACTAATATATGTTTTACAGTTCTGGGTACTAGGCAATGTGTGCAAGTTGGAGCTTCTAACCCTCGCAGGAGGTATCCATGGGAAAACATTTGACATTTTTTTTTCGTAAATGAAGTTAATGATACGATAATTAATAAATATGAAAAGTTCAAACTCTTCCCAAAGGATTTAATAAAGCGATGATTAGTGATTGAGAGTTATAATTAATGCTTTCTTGTTTACTCAAATGGAATCGCTCAATCTCTTCAGTCTCCTTTGAAATTTTGGAGAATATAATTACATACATTGTCTACAAATGAAGATGTGTTCCACGAGATTTTAGTAGGATCTAACCCATTTATTTCTAATTTGCGACCTGAACAAAATAAGAAGTATTTTCCAGTAAGTGCAGAAACCTTAGAATTACTGATTTAATAAGATCATGTATTTTAATTATTATTACTTATCGTTAGTTATATTTTATTACTATTTTTATTCTTTATAGTTTTATAAATACTACCACCGATTTTAGGTATCGTATTGAATTAATTTAATATTTGACTACATTACGTACACATATTAATTTTTTAAAATAAAAAACTTGTTTTTGCTTAATCTAATTGTTTATTTATAATTTGAACTGAATGAAATCTAAACTCATATTCACTGGAATATGGTGTCTATGCACTTTTAAAATTATAATAAAATGGCTCATTTTTTATTTTTAGAGTGATTTTTCAATGCACTTTTTCATTGAGAATCAAGTGATATCAACTGCAAGTCGGAAAATTCAATTCTTGTTTATAGGGCGGTTTCCGAAAGTATAAAACAAAATTACAAGTAAATGATAATAATAGGTTATTTTTTTAGGTGGGCTTAACGTCCAAATACCACGTTTGATATCTTGGACGGAGCGTGGGGCACTCGAGAAATCATAAAGAAATGAATGTACCCAATTGGATTTGGACCAGGGATCTTCGTGTCCAAATTGCAAAGTTGTTAGTACTCAGCGAACCTGCCCCCTACATTTTTCCCAATTTATGCATAACATGTAAGTTATACTTACCTCCCTTAATTACTTTTAATAACCATTTAATCAATTAATCCAGTGAAAGAAGTCATTATATACCAAAACTTCGAGGTTCTACTTTAACTTTATTTAGGGAACGAGAATTTGATTAAGTAACTTGAAGTCTTTTTTGGCCTATATAGTCAGAACATCGTTCGCTTAGTGAAACTATTTTTTATATATAAAATGTTTTGTATTTTTTTTATACATTTAATGAGTTATTACATCGATAAATATGATCCAAATTAACAACTACCTCAAGTTCAAATCGAACAAAAGTGTTCCGATTTTTTCGATAGTTGTGATCAACTAAGGAAAAAAAATTATAAAACTTCCTTCATAATATAAACTAAAATGTTTACATATCACAAAACATTGTATCCTAGCTAATAATGGTCCAATTTAAATAATATATTCGATAATGAGGAAATTTAGTAATCATTCAAATAATTATGGGTACAATCAACAAAAAAAATTATACTTTTTGAGTAATTTGCAAATGAAATTTCTTTTCCGTCATTACTTTTTTTTTCGTGAAATTTTGGGAGGAAGTGACTATTTCCCACATCAAAGAGAACAAAATCTTCAAATTGGATATGATAAAGAATTGATATGGCATACCGACAAAAAAATTCTTTGAGAAATAATGTATAACAACTGATTATATCTTGTTAAACATTCCACAGTAAATACACTATGTCTAGACCATTTTTTTAAACCAAATATTTTTGTAAAATATTATTATTATTGAGTAATCATTTTGCGGATGTGGATCTTCATTTCGACAAAATATACATCTAACCGACAGGAGGATTTTATAAAAATTATTGTAAGATATTATGAAAAGGTTATTCCCAATAATCCTATTCGTGAGTAATATCTTATTTATGACAAGATGTTTTTTTTTTCTTTGCGGTTGGCTCTACAGACCTTGTAGATCTTTGGTCGCCTGAACCAGCCTTCTCCACCTCTGCCTATCTTGGGCTACTGCTTTCCAGTTTGCTGCATGAAGCTCACCCATATCATTGTTTATCCTATCTATCCATTTGGGTTTTGGTCTCCCATGTGGTCTCTTGGCTACTACTCTGGCATTCATTATTGTGTAAAGGCGTCCTGATGGATTGCTACGAGCTACATACCCCACCTTAATTTATCTTAACCTCCTCGCCTTCATGTCATGAGATATTGACTGACCCGTTTCTTTCAGCAGTTCTTTATTGTTCCTTCTCCTCCATGTGTCAAGGTCCTGGTCCCATATAGGCCCTCTTATTCTACGTAGAACTTTTCTATCGGATCTCCCAATTCTGGCTTCTACTGTGTCGGTTAGAGCCTAGATTTCACAACTATATAGCAGAACTGGCTTAATCACTGCGTTGTACACCCTTATTTTTAGATCACTGGAGATTTTTCTGGTTTTCAGTACCCTTGGAAGAGAGAAGAAAGATCTGTACGCACTTGTTATTCGCTAGTCTATCTCTGTTAGTTGATCATTTATTGAGGTTATTGTGGAGCCGAGGTATTTGAATCTGTCTACTTTCGGTAATGACTTAAAGTCCACGCTATTAAAAGATCATGCTATTAGGGTGGCTGTTTCGGCTAACTATCATGTATTTTGTTTTATCTAAGTTGACTTATAATCCGATTTGCTCTGCTTCTTTTAACAGAGTTTTTTCTTTTTTTTCTTTTACAAATTTACAATTTTTCTTTTACAAATTCTTTTTTTCTTTTACAAAAGTATTCTTATTGTTCTCTCAATATTCTCTTGATTATTTCCGAGTTATTAGAATATATATATAGCTTTATTTCAGATAGAAATTTTAAAAATATCTTAATTTCGGCTATGCGATTAAATATGAGAAATAACAGAAATATTTGAGTGAAAAGGCTCTCTCTGAAGAACCGAATATTTTATCTTGAATAGACCATCTGGGACCCAATTTAAGCTCTACGGTATCTCATTAAATATTCTGAGACTTAATTTAAGTTCATCCTTGCTACACGGAGACTCTTTCCCTAAACTCTCAGTGTTAGGCCCCTAATTTAAATCTTGGATACGCTACAGATTACATAATATTAACCTGTACCACTACAACCCATGAAGGGTCTGGGGTTCAGTACTATTTAGGGAAAGCACTGTTTCTAGGTCAACGGTTGTGCAA